CCATGGTGGCGAGAATGAAAAATTATTGCACCGACTAATGAGACGACTATTCTTCACATTGATTATTTCTTCCGGTGACTAACGTGCGGATCTTCTTCTGGAGAAACAGCGTGAACAAACCAAAATTGTCGGCGTTACACAGACCGCAATGACGTATGGACGTGTAATAATAATCTAATACTGTATCTAATAATACATTAAAGAACTAAACTGTAAACAATAATAATCGTGATCAGTGTTTACTTATATTGTTTCACTTTTCAATTTTGCGTATTAATAGCCCTAAGTCTGTACTTTATAGTTTAATATTAAAGCGTCACTTAATGGTTTGTAGTTTTGTTTACCGTGTCCGGTAATTGGTAGTCGGTTTAAATTTATTTTTAAATATAAAATATTATAAACAATAATATAACCACATGCGCGATAGCAGGATGGCGATAGCATCACTACAGCAAGGTTTAAACCATTGACCTCCTAATGAGTAATGGTTTAAACCTTGTCATTAAAGTACACGATTATAGGCCACTGCCTCTTGTCCCAACGACCAATTGTTACACAATCTATTTATGCCACTAGTCAATTCTTCCAATATGTTTTTGTTCAAAACTTAGTCTGACTCACGGTCATTTAATGGATCTTAAACAGTAGTCTGACTTTAGTTTAGATTATTAGATCATAATATTAATATACTAGAGCATAATCATTATAATATACTCAATGATTGTAGACTGTATTCTATATATTATGATTTAAGGTTCGAAGGCACATAATTGTTGGTTTATTCCAAAATCAAAATTGCATTTCAGCATTTGTCCCAATATGGCAATATATATTTATTACCTAAGCAATATATTTTCCAAGTTTGGAACAATTGTTTGGAATAAATATTAGTTAGACCATAGTATTATATCAATGATAGGAATTAAAACAATTCAGCACTATGATTCATTGAGATTATATTTTAAAGGCCGAGATTCAGGAGCCTCTCATTGCACCAGGAGGGGCAGCAAGCTGGGGCATATGGCCCTCTGGCTTTTCGGAAATTAATTTTAAATTGAGTATACTATGATAACCTTTTGGACAAATTGAAAATCAAAACAACCAAAAAAACATGGACTCGTAGCTCGATTGCTGTACATTAGGTGTCGTTCCAACTGTGGGTCGCCCCCACTGTAATGGATGTGTTAAATTTGAATTCGATGATAGGTAAATAGGTAATATAAAACTATTATTTACGAAAAATGGTTCTGAGCGAATACAGCCCATATTAGTTATTAGTATATGTATATTACTGAGTATAAGTCTCACGTGATAGTATATATTGTTATGATATTATTTTTGCTGTAGTTTATTTTAGTATTGGTAATACAGTATCGGTTGAATTAATTTTGTTTCGAGAATATTGCATTTGAAAATGCCATGGTGTATTTGAAATATATTACATAATAATATTTTAATAAATTAGCTACTTCAAAAGTTTCAAATAAGTACTAGCGAAAAATATTTTTTCTTACAATAAAACAACTAAAATTGTTATTCTTTTTTAAATTTTTTATTTCGTCAGAATTTATAAAAAAAACTGTGCTTATATATTTTGGTTACAGTATGAACTGCTCATAAAAAACCTTGCTTTAAATTTTCAATTAGTAACTATAAAAACTATTAAAAACAATTAATTAGAACATTTTCATTATCTATAGGTAGATGCATTTATTTTGTAAACATTTAAACTTTTTTTTTATTTAGGTATTCATAAGTACGTATTTAAATGTTTCAATAATATACGATGAAACTAGTTAAACTTAGTATTTTTACAACATTCAGTATTTTGACTGAGGTATTTATACTCCAACTATAGATGTTTATAAAAAAACGTGTCTATAAAGTATAAATAATAGGTATATTTAATATTTTTCAACCACTATTATAATAACTAGGTATTATAAGGAATCTTGCATTAAATTGTCAAGCAGCCCCTAGCTTATATTGACTCGGTGTAAACTATTTTATCGATATTTTTTTGGAAAAAAGGTGAACAAGAAATTAGTGTCTAGAAATAGCTGAAAAATTGTCATAATACCTATAGGTAGTATAATCGGATCGTCGTCAGAGTCCTGTCACGCATACGAACGGTTGCGAATCGGCGTACCCATCACCCATGGCTAAATAATTTTAATTATTACTTTATAACTATAAAGCAACTTCATAACTTTAGTTATTTAGCCATGGGTGTACCTATATGTTTGACCATCACCACCGAAGAGCGTATCTGCTGAAACAGTGGAATAGCTCGTCCAAAAAAACAATGCAGTAAAAAACCTTTTTTTTTTTTCATTTATTAAAAATTAAAATGTATCAACATATTACATGTTACAACAAGTTAGCTAATAAATAACGATAACAATGAGAATTTAATTTAAGATAATATATAATATAATATTTGAATTTTAAATTTTGTATTCGTGTTATTGATGTGTGGAATATGTGGTGTGTGTGTGTGTTATGGGGTAGGAGTTACATGGAGTGTTATTTTACTTATTAGGGATGTTAAAACAGCAAGAAGGGGGTTAAGAGTAAAAAATCTAAATAATATTATTATGAAATATATTTGTACCTACATGGAATTAGATTTTAAATATATAGATTATAAGTACTATTAATTCTTACAAATATAGATTGTTTAAAATTCCGACTCTCCATGCAAGCCCCTTTTTTTCATTGTAGTAGGACTAGTAGGTACCGCCACATGGGGCTGAATCGTTCGCACAATATTTAGTACCTACCTCCAAGTAGCATCGTTTTTTGAACAAAAGATATTCAAATAATGTCACATTGTCACAAATAATATTATACAAAATAATATAAAATATACAATTTCCTCGCAGAAGAGACGTTTGATGCTATTGACAGCCACTCTCGAGTCACGTACTCACGTAAAGTAATTCACGAACTGGCTTGGCCAGTCTAATGCTCTAGAGTCTAGAGCAGAGGTTCCCAAACTTTTTATTGTACGACTCATTTTGAAAATTTTTTAAAATATGGCGACCCACAATATCAATGAATGACCTTTTTTTTTTTTCCATACAACAGAAAATTAAACTATTTTATTAAATTTTATGTAATTACGAAAAAAAAGTATAATAAGTATAATATATAGTATTTGACACGGCCGAGTAAACTCGTAATTGTCACACTCACAGATAAGGATTGACGATAAAACTGAATTTGAACTTTGAACATCAACGAAAAGTAATAGATGATTATATTTTTGTATTATTTAAAAAAATAGAGCGACCCACCAAAAGTATAATCACGACCCACTTTTGGGTCGCGACTAACAGTTTGGGAACCTCTGCTCTATAGAGTCTAGACCAGCGTTTCTTAAACTGTGTTCCGTGGAACCCCAGGGTTCCGCGGAGGTCACTTCAGGGTTCCCCAAAACTTGTGGTTTTTATTCAAAATTTTAAATTTTGGCACATAATTATAACTTTTATTGCAAACATTCCTTAGGTACATAAAATGACGCATTGAAAGTATTGAAACAATGTAGTGGTTCTAATTGTCGAGCTGTAATAATTTATTGTTAAGAGCTCAATAAAAAACAGCTAAAAAAAGTTGGGGGTCCACGGTGAAAGTGCACATAAAAAAGGGTTCCACGGATAAAAAAGTTTAAGAAACGCTGGTCTAAACTAACTCGTCCCAAATCACGTCATCTAAGCTGCAGTGAACGCCTGTCCCTTTCGTGCTGCCCTTATGATAGCCGACTGTGCTGAGCATTCCCAAATTTTTAATTTTAGTCATAATTTATTGTTAGTTTACTTTATAATAGTTTTTATACGGGTGTCCATAACCTAATAAAATATACCTAATATGTAAAAAAATAAAGGGACTTCAGCACACCCAGTTTCTTCATTGGCATTGCGCTCCTGAGGGCCTGAGCATAGTATATTAGTATTATACACATGGTGTATAACAATTGACAAGTTTATAACAACTCTATATTATATTATGTATAAATTATAATTTATAACGCATTATATATTTGTATACTGCACCACGAGCTGCGAACTGTGATAATATTATTCATTTATAAGTGAAAATCGAGAAACAAATTATTATGGTTTGGATATTTTGATCAATTGCCATAATTAAATATTATAATAGTTAATAGACAATGGTTAATACCTAAACATTAATATATTTTTTTATTGTATAAAAAATAAATAAAAGCATAATTTATTTTCCTGTAATCTGTGATTCAACGATCCCTACCACGGACAAATGACAAGACAACAGTTAACACTGAACAGATAACGTTGCATGACTGCATGAGATTGCGCAATCCACAGGTCAGTGACGGTTGAAACTTGGAAGCTTAGGCAACCATCTACCACCATTCATTAACTTCATTAGTCAACACTCAACAGCCAATGATCATTAGTCATTACTCATTACAGCCCACAGGGCACAGACTATATGAAAAAATATATACAATATTTTATGCTCTCTATTATAGTCTGTAGTAATTCAATAATACTCTTATTTTTTACGTCTTTGCACGACCACTTCTTACGACGTTTAATTCACTTATTTGTATGTGCTCCCAGTCCGGTCGCTAGGGGGGCACAAGCAAGTCCGCATGCGTTGCTTTAGGACGGCGTACAATTTCAAAGAGATCGAAGGCGGGAAAATTAAATAACATAATATCGGTAAAGAAGAGCGGCATTCAAAATAATGCTCATTTCAGAACGGAAAATATCGAACGACGTGCCTGTGTGCACGACGGCGTTTAAATGCCTTGGACTCTAGCCGTCTCATTCTGTTGTTGGCCAAGAAGTGAATTCGACGTAGGGGCGGGTAGGGGTGGTACTGGTGAAATAGTATTCAACAGTAGTGTTCTTAGATCAATATTATATTGCGTGATCTAAGGCAGAACTAATAATGAAACAAACAATAAATTCACATCGGACGTAGTAAGCTTGAGCACTGTAAACACAGAAGCGCAAAGACGAACGCAAACGCGGTGCCGCAGTGCGCGGGCAACGCAACACCGCAACAGTGCGACACTCCAACACTACAATTTTTCGTGGTAGGTAATCTTACATTCTCAATATTCTCATTTCTCACCAGTAATACACCCCAACGTCCCCAACCTGCAGCGCCAGGACGACTTCCGCCCCTACCCGAATAGCTCATCACCAGCAGCTTATCAGCGTGATCGTGCGCACTTTGGTCGACGGAATCGTTTGTTATCGTTTGGTGTTTGTAATCGTATTTCGTTCACTGATTGCTGTCGACAGTCAACAGTGAACACTTCAACGGTAACTAACTCGCAACGTTCTATGCCCGGCACGACGGTGCCTGCGGTGAACAATAATAATCGTGTCGTCGCAGTAATAAATTCGGGCAGTCGTTGGTGCGGCGGCGATTGGAGAGGAATGAAAAATATGTGAGCAGAGCAAAAAAAAAAATTTGTCTGGAAAAAAAACTTGTCGACGGACGCATTATTGATTCCGTTCCACAAATTCGATTGCGACGGGATTTCGTTGTTGCTCAGTCAGCGCATTTGTATGTGATATATCATAGGAACAGAAAAAAAAAATACTAACCGCACACCCGTAACACCTGTAGATGCGTTGTTGCTCGGTTTTCTTCGGACATGTCTTGCACTAAACATGGTTTGAGATGCGCCCTGTAGCCCTTGATCACGCTACGAACAGTACTAACCAATAGCGTCAAATCGTTCCACGATCTCCCTTGACGGCGAGGGAACAATGTTAACGCTGTTCAGCAACGCCTATAACTACACTGCTTCAATTACAGGTATGTGTCTCAGAAATGAGGATTGTCTTTTCTGTTTTTGTGTTATTTATTCTATGTCTATTTTAATGTTACAGTCGGCTACATTGGGGTAGATGTTGATTTGTGGCTCTGGATGACATGGCTGCTTTGGCCACTCATTGTTACGTTTCTGTTGCCCCTCACCATCGTTCTGTTGTTCTACATAACTGGTGTTATACTCTATATCTATAAACTTCACAGGTACATGGATTTTGAAATTATATTAATAGATAGTTTATGAAAGTTTGAATATATTTACTTAAATGTTTAAACTTAATACATTATCATTAACAGACACCCTTTGTATACATTATAGAAATGTTTTACTAAAATAATAAGGGAAGTATTTAAATTAAATTTGAAGTAAATTAACCATAAATATCTTAATCAGTTATAATAGTATCAATTCACTCAATCTAATTTATACTATATAAAACACTATAAAACTAGATTTTTGAACAATCATTTTTCAATAGTTAAAATCTTAACCATTTTCAATTTAGTTCTTTATTATTAAACTGTAACAGTAACAGGTGTCTTATTTTAATTTAATTAGTTGTAATAAGTAATTACAATAATTAATAATTATAAAAATGTTTTTTAAATATTTTGTATGTTGTAAGTTTTCTGAAATATGCTTGCTACTGTTTATAATTATTGTTTGACGAGTACAATTTTTTTTTTGTTTATCTTGGTTTGTTATTTGTATAACTGTGTTAGTGTATAATACATTTTATAATTTCACATTTTTTACAATTTCATATTTTTTATTCTTTTAAAGTATTTGTGAGTATGCATACCTATAGGTATATTTAAATTTTAATTGTGAACAAAAATGTATATATTTTTTTATGTATGGTGTATCTACACAAAGCAATATGAAAAATGGTGGCCAAAGTGTTAAAAATTAAAAATTCTTATAATTGGCTTCTGTAACTTGGCTGACTTTCAGTTGCACCGCACTATTCTTAGATCTTTTGTTTTTAAAACATGTTTACTTGCCTAATTAATACGTTTTTTTACTAAATTATACCTACATAATTTAATTAATAATTCTATAATATAGTTGGTTAACTATAAACTTAATACTTAATTAGATAAGAGGAGATTTATATGGAAGGTACAATCATTGATAATAAATATTATTTTATGTATATAATCAATGGTACAATTGAAAAATATTGCTTTATGGTGTCTGTAAGGTTAAAGCTCAAATAATATTCAGGGAAAATAATAAAATCCTAGATATGCTGTGATTGTGTAATGATTCACCTGATTAGGTTGTATCTGTAAACCATAATTAAAATATTTAAATTATTGCTTGTTGGTTTTGGAAATCCATAATAATTACATGTTATGAGTTATATCATAGGTTATATCCAATTATTTACATTTATTATTACAGTATATCCTTGAAGAAATCATAAAAAGAAAAGTTCATATAATTGTGTAGGAAAACATACTATCTAGTATAGATTTAAAATGTAATAGGTACTATACCAATCATTACTTATTAACTATGATTTTATGGTTTTAAATATCTATAATATACTTGCAGGGTCTCTTGGGAATTTACTTATTTAAAGTTGTCAGTTTTAAACAATGACATTTGTATAATAGGTATAGTATGTAATACATTTTATTAATTATTACTGGTCAATAATTTAAATGAAATCATATTGGTGATTATACAATGCTTATAGTGGTATTTACTATTAGTCATAATTAGTTTAGTTGTTTATGGTATTAGTTATTATAGTACCTAGTAGGTGTGATAGGTATCTGGTTAGGTTTGTTGAATGTTGGTTATGTTACTGAATAATAATTACGTACCTTATACTAAGTTTACCTAGTCTAAGGCCTATGTTATGAACAAATATTCCGAATAAACACAGTTTAATATTTGTTCTTCTAAGTGTTTTGTAGAAATGTGTGACAAATTATAGAAACTATAAAATATATATTTTATAAATGTGTATATTGTGACGTTTGTTAAAACGTTTTATTTAATTACTCAATAGTTAAAAGTAAAAAGGTTGTTTTTTTGTTTACATTATAATATTTTATATTTCAAATTATAAACAAAATAAACCTAACTGATTTAACTTTTTGAATTTAACTCATTTTTATTGACAGATTTTATTAACAACAATAAATATTAAAACAAAATTAGTCCTTTGAAGGTTACTAGAAATGACTTGAAAACGTCACTTTTTAAATCATCAAACTTATGTATTCTCAATTAATGATAATTGTTTAACCATAACTTATTGAATTATTATAGGGAAAGACTTATAAATGCATATGAAAATAATTTTTGGGATGGTGCATTAAAAACTGTAGCTGCATTATGGGATGCTCATGGTTGGATTTGGCATGGTAATTAATTTTAAACTAAAAAAAATTTTCATTATTAATAAAATGTGTAAATTATTTTTCTAGGATATGAAGTAAATGGCCTTGAAAATGTACCTATTGACAGTCCAGCTTTGTTAGTGTATTATCATGGTGCTATTCCTATTGATTTGTATTACATGATTTCTAGAATATATTTGCTAAAAGCAAAATTAGTTCATACTGTAGCCGACCATTTTCTATTTAAATTACCTGGTAATTATAATTTTTTATTTTTGTTATAACAGATTGAATGATTTCCAGTACCTCTATTGGGATTTATCAATTATTATAATTTATAACCACATAAACTTTTGTTTTATTTTATCAATGTATGTTTAGGATGGTCAATAATATCTGAACCATTAAAAGTAATACCTGGTACTGTACAGACTTGTTCAGACATACTAAAAGAAAACAATCTTTTAGCGATTTCGCCTGGTGGTGTTTATGAAGCTCAATTTGGTGACAGGTATTATAGACTTATGTGGAAAAAGCGATTTGGTTTTGCTAAAGTAGCTATAGATGCTAAAGTAGTAAGTTTTTGTGCAATTTTTATTATTTATTAGTATACCTCTTAATAAATTTTAAATGTGTAATTACTGATTATGCTTCAGCCTATAATACCAGTATTTACACAAAATATTCGTGAAGCATTTCGTTGTATTGGTATTGGTCGTCGATTCTGGTTGCGAATATATTTATGGACCAGATTGCCAATAGTACCAATATATGGAGGGTTTCCCGTCAAACTAAGAACTCATATTGGTAAACCAATTCCATATGATCCAGATCTATCCGCCGAAGACTTACAAAAAAAGGTAATGTGCATCAAATAATCCTAGATGGCTTGAAAAGTGTATGGTTACATCTTAATCTCGTACTTTTAATTGTCTGATTGTATGATTAGTATTATAGTTTTATTTTTTATTTTATTTTTGTTTTAGGTGGCAAGTGCAATTGAAGAATTAATATGTCAACACCAAAAAGTGCCTGGCAATATACTGAGAGCTCTCTGTGAACGTGTTTATAACCCTTTAAACTGTAGTAAGAAAAAAACATGACATTACGCTTTACTTACTAGCGATGGAAAAGTTTAAACTGATTGTCACGGTATTTGGACTGTGCTGTGGTTCATTGTAATTTGTAACAAATTGAAACTGAATTCTCTATAGCATAATTTAATTAATGAAATCTTAACTTTTTAAGTATTTATAAGTTATATATTATGTATAAAAAAAAACTCGGTTTATAGTTAATTTATTACTATCTGTAAAAACTGATTTTTTATTTTTATTTGGTTAAGTACTTAATTCATTTCCAAATCAGTGGTTCTATCAATATTTATGTTAAATTTAATTCTGTTATTTATTGACAGCTACATAACATACCACACCCAAACTTCAAAATAAATTTTACTAAAATGTTCATGAAAAGGCTTAATATTGTTAATATTGGTATAGATAAATATATGTCTATTAATTTTTATTATTTAAACATAATCTACTTAAGTTTGTTTGGAGTAAAAAAAAGTACTAATTAAAAAATGGTATTGGAGTGTAGCTGTGATTATATTATATTGTATACTGAGACTTTTGATAGTTGTTGATTTTGGTGTATAATAATTTATTATCTGAATTTTGTGTTCAATTATTAATATGTATGTGATATGAAATTGTTTACATATTATTTAAAATAATCATTAATGGTTATGATAAATTTGATTCCCATTTGTTGTAATTTGGCTGTCCAGTTTTTATTTTTATTTACCAAAATGATGTGCTAATGAAGAAATTATTTTATAATTTAGTTAAAACTACTTTGTGATATTTTTTTAAATATTTATTATTATGTATTTGACACTTTGTGTTTAGATTGTTTAGAGATTCTGATATTTATTTTTATGTTATATTTAAACTTATTTGTATTTTAAAACATTATAAATTATGACTTATGTTATTGTTATCTATTTTTAAATGCTGCAACATACTTTGAAAGAGATTAATTTAATGAAATAATGACTATTTATGGGATTAGGTCATTATGAATTGTGCTGCATTAAATTTTGTGCAAAAAAATAATGAATCGATATATTAAAAAATATTGAAATTCATATGGTAAAAAACAACAAAAAAAAAGGGGGAACTGTACAGTCTAATTTACCCATAAGGTCATAGACCTAATAACCAATGAATTAATTAATAAGCCTATGGATTTTACCTAATTCATAAGCAATAGGCCCAGTGCAATTTAAAATTATAGGCCTTGTAATGAAGCAAAAATAGTGACTAGCAGTAGCCAGTTATAGAACATTACAATTTACATTGTAATAATTTAGTTATTAACTTGGATGTTATGGTTGAAAACCTTTAACACAATATCATCGATAGGGCTTGAAATATCAAACTTCCTTGACTTACATTGTTTTTTAAAGCCTATATATTATTAATATTTACTATTATTAGAATATTTTCAATCTCGGGGTAGTGAGTAAAATTTGGTAAAAGTTATTTTTTAGATTTAGTATTGAAATTCATAACATTTATATTTAATACCCACTATTTTATGTACTTCAATATCATTGTAAAGGTAGATTGATACAAAATGTTATATTCACATTTCATCATATTACAATAGATATATATGACAATGTTAAGTGTTATAGGTCCACTGTCCACTAGTACATAATTTTGGTTTTTGATTGATGTGGTATGGCACAGAGTGATGTATTAAGATGAACTGGCCTCACGTTTGTTGTATCCGTCTTACACACGCACGAGATAGCATATTTCCATTTACTAGTTTCAATAGTGTATTAGTGTGCTGTTAATTTTGATATTGAGTGAATTCACCCACCATACAATTTTGAGGTAAAATTATTATCTGAGGCCCCAAGAAGGCTTTTATTGATACTATTATTTTTATGTAAATTATGTTCCATTTGGAATTATACATTTTAAAATGATCTAGACTTCCTTAGAAATGGTAATATGAATAAAAGCCTACTCGGGGCCCTAGATGATAATCTAACCTTTGAATTGTATGATGAGTCAGTCAATTCGCTCTAATATCAAAACTAACAGCTCATTATTGAGAATATTTGAGACTGGTGAACGACATTTTGCCATGTCGTACGTGTAAGACGGAGACATCCCTTGCGGATGCGACGTCCTCTTAAATGTTATTATTATCATAGTTATTGATGTTATAAGTTGTGAAGTTTTGTGGTGTAATAATGCGAGTACCATTACAGCACCTAGTTTAATTATTTTATATTAATTCATTGTATATTTGTTTAATACAATAGCTAGAAATCTAGAATATCAGTTTGAGCAAATTTCCCTTATCGTCAAACTTGCTGAAATACTAATTACCTATTGCGTTATTTCGTGCGTTAGGTACCTAATGTAATAGAGTTTTCAATTTTTCATGTCTATCTTATACCCATAAACATATCTCACCCCAGAACGATCAGAATCGACAAAACCAATTCCTAATTACGTCACTGTCAACATAGCTTTAACTAATCAAAAGTTTAGATAGGTAGGTACTTCGTACTTAACAACCTTATGAGTTATGACTTAGGTATCTATTTAACTAAGACACTTTGAATTCAAATATTTTTTCAAAGTGTTTGATTATTGTCTGTTGACACCTTATAGGGCTTAGGATCTTAGATCATAAACTATGGATGGGGTCATGTCCCCAAGGCCGTAACTGGAAAAAAATTTCGGGGGGGTCTAACATATTTTTTTCTAGGTATAGTTTTAGTATAGTTAAACAAAATTCACCGCTAAAATGTTTCTACTTTTAAAAATTTCGGGGGGGGGGGGGGCCGGACCCCTGGATCCCCCACCAGTTACGGCCTTGATCATAATACATGTATGAATTGAGACCATTACTCATTCACCACTCATATTATTCTTAAATGGAATAGAGTGTAACAATATCACATTCTCNATGAGGTAGTAAAATGGGCAGACGCCTAGGGCGGCAAATTTCAAATGAACCAGATGTATTTGATTATTATATTATCTAGTACCTATAGGTAGAGAAATGTATGTTCATTGTTCAACAAATACGAAACAAAATATTTAATAATATTATATATAAAAAAAATAGGTAATAATAATATTTCGTTTGCCGCGGACGCACCGTAATTGGAATGGTTGTACTCAAATAGAACGGCGACAATGGTCAGTGATGTCTGCAGATAAATATTGCACGGTCTTATCGAGCTAAAATATAATAGGTAATTATTGGAAAACACACCGACACCGGCATTTAGGAATTTAGTCCCGAACTTTCAGTATATTGTTGTTTATATTATAGTACCTACATAGGTGCTAAACTGCTAACATGGCTAAATAACTATAATATACTACCCATATAATATATTTAGCCATGGGTACAAGTGGTTGAAGTGCGTAAAACGTTATGTACCTATATACGACTTTTATTTTTTCGCATAAATCAAAATAAATTTACACCGCAGTTCTCGGTTGGCGAAATTATTTGTTGGAGTACCTATCATTGGAATATTATTCATTAAATATTATGTCGGAGCCAAAACGCGCGTATACGGTTATCGGGAGCAGCTAATCGGAAAAGTAATTAAAACAAAAGGTTATCGCCGTTAAAAAAACGCCCATAATATTCATAGACCTACTAACTAGTTAATAAAGGTCTATGGTGGTATTGCCAAAATATTGCCTACCCGTTTCCATCTGAACTCTGAAGGTTACGTTAGGTACCTATGGGTGCCTTAGATAGTTACGTTACACTAACGCTCTGTCGTTATAGAATCTTCTAATGATTTGAATTTACAGTTTGAATAATAATTATTATTGTGTAGCTTAAGGTTATCAAAATATTTTATATTATAATCAAATCAATAATTATTTTTCCCTTTTTCATGTTAGCATATTAGACAATAGAGATGGACTAAATAGTCAGTATTGTCACAGAATAACTAAATAATAGTACTACTGAAAAATAATAAGCACATAGATAAATAATATGTACATAAATAATTTACCTATATATTTTTAGATTCTGAACGGAGCCATGAATGTATTGATTTTAGAGTTTTTTTTATCTTTGTACACTACATGTTGTTGAAATAATGCTTTAATTTTCAACTTCAGTATCTTTTCCATTGGCCAAGTAAATGTTGTCGGTGGATTCGAAAGGTCATAACTTAAAAGTCTCAGTAGTTTTCTAAAGCGCCACGACAAAAAAAAATGAATGAAAAACGAGAATTTTTTCTCAAAATTGATTCTTAAGTTAGGAACCTAAGAATCTAAACAAATTCGATTTTGGTTTTTGGTGAAACCGTTAAAAAATTACGGTAGATTATCTATTTTTCACTGAATGTTTAGATTAGTATTTTCTATACACCATACAATTTCAAAATATTTTGACTTGTTTTGAGAAGTTTTCGGACCTTTTCAATTTCCAATTTGTTTTTTTTCCATAAATGTTAATACAATTTTATTGTTGGGTCAAAAGGAGTGAAAAATTTAATACAAAGCGCCTAATAATATATTGTTACAATAACAGTTGAAAAAAGCACGATTTTGTGTTATAAGCATTTTCAAATTTCGACAAATTTTACAAATTATTTTGTAGTTAAATATTTATAAAATGTTCAACTTTTATAACAAAGAATTGAAAATTAAAAACAAGGTTACGCATAAATAGGTAATTCTGCAACCAAATATTCCAAAAAACATATAAACAGAGTTTTTCAAGTTACTCTAAGTTCAAACTTAGACGAAATTACATATTAAAACCAAGAATAATGATTCTAGTTATTTTGTTGTAATAAAAAATATTTTTCGTGGGTACTCAAAACTGTTGCAATAAATGCAATTTTTTCGACAATAATCAACTTAACCTACCGTTACTGTATAGCACTAATGTCAATAGTAAAATAAATGTCATTAATCACAATAATATCATCAAATATCCTAAATAATATAATAAGCTGACCGCCTTCGCTAGGAATAGTTTTTTGTGTACAATGGATTTTATATTATTGAATTCAAATCCATCACAGTGACCCACTTGTAACCTACCTACTGTTCAGCAGAGCGACTTCAACTAACCAGTTTTTTATATTTTAGGTGGGGGAAGAGGTAGAATAGCATTGTGTGAAAAAGCCAGCTAGAAATTACCTAGCCATAAAACCATAAATTTGAATACTTTAAATCTATGGCTTATACAGTTGTACCTTGAAGTATATATAAGTTATAAGGTCTATACAGTATACATAAACTAAAACTGCAGTTCAAATATTTTTCTATGCATTTATTTTCTGATTATTTTTACTCCAAGGCTATAAATTATGTAAGAATAAACATTGAACATAATATTTTGGTTTCAAATACTTTGTATAATAAATCCTGTGGAAGGAAGAACGTCAATCGAAACTGCACGGTTTTAGAAAATAGAAGACCGTTATCTATAAGCACAGAACAATAAGGTTTATGCTATAAGGTACATGCATAGACATATATATTTAACAACTAGATAGCCCACGACCACGGCTTTAGACTTTCTATCTAAAGCCGTGCCCACGACTATCCCCAAGCACTGTACAGAATTTTGAAGTTAGTCCGCCATTTGCCTAAACGGCAATGTTCACATTGTTATGTGATAACACGATATAGATAACTGACAAAACCCATAGACATATATATAATATATATGACTATGACAAAACTATTGGTGCTTACGGTTCTTTTTTTGTTATAAATTACTGTCATTACATTTAAATATAATAATCCTTATCACGGTAATCGTTATCGCCTTATCACAGAACAGACTTATCAGCTGCAGTTGTAGTCGTTGATCGTAAATTATTGTTCTGTCTATTATTCACTTTTTCAGTACTTGTAACTTTTCACCTAAAATATTTATGAAATTATAACTTATAAAGTTCAGTGCAGTCGCTGCATACGGCATATCACGTTTAATGCTGCTTGTAGTTTGACCGACGTACATCCACGCTTACGTAATTATCATTTGTCGTGGTGAATATTTGGTAATATTTCGATAGACTTGTAACCCATTTATTTATTATGAAAATACGTAATTTTTTTAATGACTACATTTTTACAATTAACTTTTTGTTGTTTTTTGCCTGATTCCATAGGTGCTGAACACCATTTGAATTACAATGATTTGGTAGAGTGATTGTGAGTCAAGAAAAAAAATCAAGATCATTGTCCAATGAATTCTGAAAGTCCTCCGTCGATTGGCGTGGCGTTTGCTGGTAATATCGGTGAGAAAATACCGTTAGTGAATCGCCGCCGTCAAATGTTCGATTATTTCACACGCATGTTAGGAAACTCAAGTGCTGGCTCAGAGGAAACATCCAAGGATGGCTACGTTGAGTTTGGCAATATTGGGGAAGCGACCAGTGGCCGTACACTGGGCCCGTTTGCTGGTGTGTTTGCACCCGTCTGTTTGTCCATGTTCAGTGCAATGTTGTTTCTGAGAGTGGGTATGCTATTTAAACATTCATACATATTAATTAATTTATACATTTTTTAATAAAACACTGGAATATTAACAGCTGTTGTAATTTGTTTGCTTGTTTGTGTTCGTTTAGGATTTGTTGTTGGAAATGCTGGCCTCATTGAAACATTATTTCAATTTGCCATTGCTTACACTATTATTGTTTTCACTGTCATGTCTGTCTGTGCTATATCAACCAATGGTGCTGTTGAAGGAGGTGGTGCTTATTGTATCCTTTGGTTTTAATTTTTATGGTTTTATCATTATTTATTTTACATTATAAAACTGTTTTGCTTGATACTTTATTTTCTCACAATTATGAATATTATTTCCTTATAACAGCCTAAACAGTTATGATAAGTAGAACATTAGGTCCAGAACTTGGAGGATCAATAGGAACATTGTTTTTTTTGGCAAATATTGTAAGCAGTGCTCTCTGCCTTACAGGATGTGTAGAAGGACTAATTGATAATTTTGGAGAATCTGGTATGTTAAGTTTTTAAATAAATATGTTAACTTCTAAATTTTTCATGTTTTATGGACTGGATAACAAATAAACTCATATTTTGATTATTTTATCAGATTTTAATATATTATAATATATAGGTTGTATAAGTATTTAATATACAATCTATATACTAAATACTACCAATCACTGTAGAAAACTTTTATTACAATTTATTACTTGTTTTTAGGTTACTTAATGCCAAAAGATAGTTATATTTTAAATGATGGACACTGGTGGAGGTTTACTTATACATCATCATTAAATTTCCTGAATTTACTTATCTGTTTAATCGGTGCAACATTATTTGCAAAAACTACTGTGATTATATTTGCAATAGTTGTGATATGCTTACTCTCATCAGTCATAAGTTTTTTTTTGAAATCTCCACTACAAGTAAGTAATAGACCAACAAAAAGCACACAAAAAAAAATTGAATTTCTTTTGTTTTTAGATTGAGGTGCCTGCAGCTAATACTTTTGTAAATCAAACCAACGCCACAGTTTTATTAAATTATACTGGTTTTAGTTTAGCTACTTTTTCTGAAAACTTAGGCCCTAAATTTGGTAATGATTATACATCAAACAATATTGCTGTAACCTTTTCAACAGTGTTTGGTGTACTTTTCTGCGGTGTGACTGGAATTTTGGCTGGAGCCAATATGTCTGGTAAAAAGAAAATATTTTTGCTTGTCAAATAAATGTATGTACAAAATGTCTTAAATATGTTTATTTTTTTAGGAAATTTGAAAAATCCATCTTATAGCATACCTCGAGGAACATTAGGTGGTGTACTGTTTACATTCATATCATACATTGGTTTGTCTATTCTTGTTGCTGCTACATGTTCACGAGAGCTACTTCAAGAAAACTATGTTTTCCTGATGCCCATTAATATTTGGCCTCCATTTACTTCTATTGGTATACTGACTGCCACATTTTCAGCAAGTCTTAGTTGTTTGATTGGTTCTAGCCGGGTGCTTGAAGCATTAGCAAAAGATTGCATTTATGGTAAGACTTGTTATATGTTTATCCAAGTTATAAACCGATCATTAAAGTTAATGTAAATATTTTATACACATGTTTATTAAGTCATTTTAATAGAAAATTAATGAATAAATATTTTTCATCATGTTCTTATCATGCCTAAAATGGTTAATTATAAAATAAAACTTAAAATTTAAATGTTTAACAAAAATATTTGTTTAGGCACTACCTATAGAGTATAGAAATAAAGTAAGAAATAGGACCAAATAAAGAAGTACTTTTTTATACACAGTACAACTTGACAATTTAATATTAATTGTGATATTGTTATGATAAAACAAAAACAAATAAACAACAATAGTGCCAATGCTATTTGTTCTTCTTAAAAGTAGAGTTCTAAATTTTATGATTTTATATAATAGTGGTTATGAATCTATGCATGTGTTGAATGGGAGTATTAAATGTTGTACTTAAGTGTTCAAAATAAACCATTTTCAGGTAGATTGTTGCAATTTGTTAATTATGGAGTTTGGCGTTCAAATCCTATAGCCGCAGTTTTATTTTCATGGTTATTGGTACAGATGATTTTGTTTATTGGATCACTTAACTTAATTGCTCAGCTGAATTCTATTCTATTTTTATTGGCTTATGTAGCACTAAATTTGACTTGCCTTGGTTTGGATCTCACATCAGCCCCTAATTTTAGGTATTTATTATTATTTATTTTTGTTATTCAATTTCTATCATATACTTAAATTAATGCGTATAATGATATATAATTTGTATACTTGCCAATTAATCTTGATTTGATTATTAGGCCATCTTTCAAGTATTTTTCTGCGTGGACCTGTTCCTTTGGGCTTATGGGGAGTGTTATTATGATGTTTGTAATAAATCCATTTTATGCCTCAACGAGTTTTGGATTGTGTTTGTTACTCATACTTTTATTGCACTTCTTTTCTCCATGTGAAGCTTCTGAATGGGGATCAATATCTCAAGCTCTAATATTCCACCAGGTATGGTTATTCCCTTTGCTTAGCTGTTAGAGGATGTCATACCCACATGTGTGGTCTACGTCTCACAAACATACAACATGTCCAAATTTTCTCTCACAATATAAAATTTTAATCTGTAAATTCTATAATTAGAGTAAAATGACCTGTTTTTGAATGTAAAGGTAAGATTATTATCTAAAACATCACTAATCATTAATTGATATTTTTTATTAAGAAGCTCATTAGCTTCTAATAATATAATATACTAAATATAATAAATAATCTTACCCTTAAATTATATTATGGCTCATGCGTATCTCTATAATTATAAAAATAACAGAAAAAATGATTTCTGTTAAATGTCAACATAAAAATTGCTATGTTGTACATTTGCAAGACAAAAAAACACACTTGGGGGTGTAATGTCCTCTTAGCAAAAAATTGACTAAACTGTTTATAATATACTATAATATACTAATATAATATATTAATATATCATCATAGGTTCGCAAGTATCTGCTTTTGTTAGATCCCAGGAAAAATCATATAAAATTCTGGAGACCTCAAATGCTGCTAATGGTTGCAAATCCCCGGTCATCTTGTCCAACTATAACATTTATTAATGATCTGAAAAAAAGTGGTTTATTCGTGTTGGGACACGTTAAAGTTGACAAGGCAGAAACAAATTTAGATTATACAGATAAGACTATTTCTTCCTGGCTGACTCTTGTTGATCACGTAAAAGTAAAGTACATTATAAATAGCTATATTATACTGTTTTTGTCACATTACGGTTTAATAAAATTAATTTAGGTAAAAGCATTTGTTGAACTGACTGTGGCCAATAGTGTACGAGAAGGACTACACCATCTTATAAGGTTATCTGGTATGGGAGCTATGAAGCCAAATACTGTTGTGATGGGATTCTATGACAATAAAGTACCACTTGATTATTTTACAAGGTTAGTTAATTACAATTTTTCAAATTTTACAAAATTGTGCAACCTGTATGTATGTTTTAGATTAGATTCGGTTTATAAAACTTCTTTATTCCAAGGAATAACAACTAATGAAGAAAAATTCCCTTTGAGATTACCCAATGAAGAAAAACATTTATCTACATCAGAATTTGTATCAATGATCTGTGATATATTTCAAATGCACAAAAATATATGTATTTGTCGACATTTTGATTTATATAACAAGACTGATATTGTCAAGTATGATTATTAGTTAAATGTTTAATTTTATAATTAAATTTTTTCTTTACAATGAGTTTATTCATTTAGAAATGTTAAGTACAAGTATATTGATGTTTGGCCTGTCAACTTCTTTGGTCCATCAATGAATGATGCGTATGACACTAGCAGCTTGTTTATGCTACAGTTATCATGTATTATTAAAATGATTGCTGTGTATAAAAAACACATATTAAGAGTTCACTTGCTCAACACTATTGATATTCAGAGCCAAAAAGTGCAGCTAAAACAGCTGTTGTCTACACTACGCATTAAAGCTACAATTCATGAAGTAAGTGCATACTGTTAAATTCAATATATTACTGGTTCAACTAAAAATATATGATTTTTCAGGTTACAGAGTGGTCGCAAATTGATCTGGCAACTTTAGACAGTGATAAAAATACATATATTTCCAGGTGATAATTACTTTTGTTTTTATTTGTCTACAACATTATAATTGACATGCCTAAATATTATGTTTTCTTGCAGGGTGAATACACTAATAAGAAATCAGTCCGCTGAGACTGCTATAAGTTTTGTTTATTTGCCAATTCCCAAAGAATTACGGGGATCAGATTTACAAAATGTAAGTTATTTGAACTCACTTACTGATTTGACCAATAACCTACCACCTACAGTTCTTGTACATGGAGTGAGTGCTGTTACATCCACAACCTTATAATCAATTTTTATTACTTGTGAATATTATTAAAATATTATTCTCTTAATTTATCACATAATTATTTTTGTATTTTGATTATTAATGTATTAAAGTATGAATTAAATTAAATTTTACTAATTTAGTCATTGAGAAAAATGTCATATGAAACTAATATTTAAAAGTTTTTATAATTTAATGTGCTCCATTTATTATATTTTTATACATTTAATGCCAGATTATTTAAAAAATATTTAATTTGATTTGTCAAAACGTAATGAACCAGACATGACAATCACTTGAAAATTATGTTAAAGTGACCATTAGCTCAGTCACCATTGATTCATTAAATATTAAGTAATTGCTTATGTAATTCGGCATAATTATTGTGATACTGTTAAATTTGTAATATCAATATTTCATATTATATTTTTATATTATAAAATGATTAAAAAATGAATATTTAATAACTTGATGATTCATGATTATCTCAGTCCTCAAGTTTGTCCTGGTAAATAGGTTATTGTAATAAAATATTTTTAGAACTTATTAGAAGTATTATTCCAATCTTAAGAAATAGAGAGCTACAGTGCCAACCTAATGTGCAACAAACTCTGTGAACTATCTATGGTAGTTCGTGTAGACAACAGATGGTAATTAAATTCAAAAATAATAATAATAAATCATTGTAATAAAAATGAAATGCTCAACTTTTTAATAAATAAACAAAAAAAAAATTTTTAAAACTAATTTTGTGGTACAGAATACGAAAAAAATAAACAATAAAAATTCTTCACAGTAAACTTATTATTTTCATTTTTCACATTTCACATGTTGTATAATTGAAACAGCACATAATAAGAAAGATGTATCTATTGAAATAATAAATAATAAGCATTTAGTGTCAACATAAATCAACAGAACGATTTTACAAGAAACAGTATTTGTTGATAGCAAATTTCATATTAAAAAAATTTTGTATTAAACTACAATCAATTGAAAATGTTTTATAAATTTGATTTTAGTTTATAATGTATAACATAATATGATAAGTGAAAAATAAACACAATTAATTACAACGTTTAGTTATATCTTAAATCCTTATTATTATACAATTGCATTAAATATTGCATTAAATATTGCATAATATTTATAAAGAAGAATTATTATTACTTAATACTTATTTAAACAATATACTAAAGTTATCATATAGGTTATTCATTTGAGTCTTCTCTGATCTTACTAATCAAGCTTAACTTTTTATTTAATACACTGTTTTCATTAATAAGCTTCTCTATAGATCTCTTGTAGTGGTTACATTCTTTCTTAAACTATAATTTAGGAATAAAATACATTTTTTTATTATTGTTACTTAATACTTGGTTGTGACATGGTTACTCTATTTTCTCACCATTTTAGACACCATCTCCTGGCGATTAGCCAATTTCAACTCTAAATCTTTAATTTCATCATCCAATTTAGAATTCTTATTATTGAAATATTTCCAAACATTATCTATTTTATGTTCTAACATATTTTCTTTAACATCAAATATTTGAATATTATTTATATATTTTTAATTGACAATATTACATAAAATATTAATGTTACCTTCAAATTCCAATCCTTTTGTTAATGAATATTTTTCCAAATGATCTTTGCGCTAAACATTATTTTTTAAGAATTATCAATTTGACAAATAAATAATGCTAACCTAACCATAAAATATATTGTACAGATAATGTTATGTGTATCTTAGCAATAATTTCCAACAAAACTAAATTCAATCAATGTATTTATTACAGCTAGATCAATTAAAACTCAAATTACAATAAAATTGTATTTATATATTAGACTGAAACTATAAAAATAAAAACAATGACAATTTGTATTCCATAGTTATTTAGCTTTTAATTTTTGAATTTATTATTTTGCTGAATGTTTGAATTTATTGCTAAGAATAAAATAATTTTTAACAAAAATGTATTTTTGTTTACTTGATTTAGAACTTCAAGATGAGTTTTCAAAAATTCATACTGTTCTGAAATAATATGTGTAATACAAGATTAAATACAATTTATGATTTCTAAAATTTAAAATTACCAATATCTTTCATAAATCACAAAACTATGTTAATGATGTATGTATTGGCGTTGTACCTATATGTTCAACAATAATATAAATTTAAATGCTGTAGGTACTAACTACTTTTTTCAGATAATTCGTCCACATCCATTTCTAATTTAAGCTTTAGTTCATCAAGTTGGGTTTTGTTTATTTGTAAATCGTTAATTTTGAAATTCAATTTACATAATTGATCACACAGCGACAACTTTTCTTTATCCAGTAAATTTGATTGCTGCATTAAATTATCCCAAAACTAGAAAATCAAAAGTTTTTTAGTAAAGATTATTTAATAATATTTATGTAGGTACCACTTTTTAGTTATTTTAAATAAAAAGCTGTCATCATCGAAATAATTATGTTAAATATAGAATACTGAAGCTAATTTTTTGTCACTCCTGTACTGAAAGTGCAGTTGTTGATGCCGGTTAAAGTGTTGGAAAATCCATAACGGATTAATACATATTTTTTACTTCTTTTTTATTACATGAAAAGCTGTAGTTAGTCGGCGGGTTACGGTTACCTACTCCATTTGGAACAGTAATGCGGAACTGCCATAGTCAAATTTTTCTTAATAGTAATTATTCAAAATTCTATATGATTACTTACACCAATTTTTCTAACATGTTCACCTTAGATGTAGTAACTCAAATAATTTTTTTTTCGTGAGACAGTCATTTATCAGACGGTAGGTAGGTATCACCCACCATCATTAATTATTATTAGTCATCAACTTATCATACATATAGTTTCTCATATAGTCATTCTATATAAGTAAATAACCTCTACTAGTTACTATGATCCACCCATATACACGCATACCTATTAGGTACCAATATTTTTTTTTTTATGGGAAGATGAAAATTCTCATTCATGATCACGGAGTTTTGCGTCACTGTTCACTCAGACCTTCTTGATTTCAATAATTTAATTTTCAATTGAATCACTAAAAATCACCACCAATCCAAAACTTCCATGGCTTTCGCAAATTGCAATAGGTGCATGCAAATATAGGGATCGGCGTCATTGACATTTGACCGAGAATGACAAGAACAGTAATTAATTAAATGTGGATTAGGTATCGTTACTGGCCAGTGTCTGACCACCTATGTCGAGGTCCAGTCCAGACAAAACATTATTTACTGTTGTAGCGATAATAATGGTAAGAGGCAGACGCCAGACGTGGCGTGAAAAATAATGAAAGGGTCCGAACAAAAACGAGAAAACTGCATTTTTGTCAAAAATGTGTTTTTGGCCGTTTTTAAAAAAAAAAATTTGCCGAGTATAGTGCCAGAACTAGACAAATCCGACCACTCGTGTAGGAAATATAATGCAACTGGATCTGTCTGGGTTGTTTTTCGTTGAAAAACCAAATGCCTCGGAGGTTTTTTTTGTTTTTCGAAAAGTTTTTAAAAATGCAGTGGTCTGGTTTTTGCATCGACCCCTTCGAATATTAGGGGTGGACGTGTATCTATGCAGTATGCTTGGCTCGTGCGGGAACTGGAAAAAGTGTAATCTGTCTTGGCAATTGGTCGGAATGAAGCCCTCGCCATCGGAATGTGCCGCACACGTCGAAATAGCCAAATTCTGGCTCTTGCCTCACAAGTCACTAGTCAGTAGGTATTCACATTGTCACAATGACATAATATACTACATATTGTATATTATATTATACATTATACTAATGACTATAGTGTCGAGTACGGAGCACTTACTATTACACTTTAACTTTATTAAATGTATGAGTACTTGTTTGTATTGAAGAAATCTTTTTTCAAGTTCCTGAGCTTCATTGGATAATTTATCACCGTCCATTGTACTAACTTGATAGCTTTTACAAGGAAAAGAAAAGAAATGTGTCATTTATAGTATAACTGCATAATAGGTACCTATACACTAAAATTAACTTTTTAACTTGTTTATTGCCCAGGCTTGCCTATAGTAGTATAGTTATAATATGTAGCCATATAGATACCAGGGATGGCCCAACGATAAGAGAGTCGGGAGCAGCGCAATGTAGGTAATGAAAAATAATATGAAAAGCAGGAAAAGGAACAAATGAAGAATATTCCTATTATTATATAAGAAAAAAAATTTTTAATGAGAGCCATGCATGGCCCGGCATTGACTGTAATTTCACCGATTTTTCTAGTCTAGAAATTATAGCTATCTAAAATGTAGACTATCTAATTGAAATATATATGTTACGGGCAAAGTGGAAAATTCGGGCAATGTATACAATGCCCGGGCATTGTACACAGTGACCGGGCATTGTATACAATGTCCGAGGTATATTGGGCAATGTAAATTGTGAAGTATTTATACAAATAATCTGCATAATATTATTTTACCTAATCAATGATATTATATACTAATAATTATTATACTCGTTTATATGATTATTTATATAAGAGTATTAGAAATTTTTTTTAATTAATTAAATTTTAAATGTATTTAAAGGTAATGCAATAAAATATTATGTGCATAATGTTCAGTTATATGATATTATACATGAAGTTCATTTGTCAATTGGACATGGAGGTAGAAATAGAATGGAACACGAGATTAATAAAAAGTACAAAAATATAACTAGAGATGTAATAATGTTATACTTAAATAATTGCGAATCGTGTAAAAAGAAGGGAAGTACAGCTAAAAAAGGGTTGGTTGTAAAACCAATCATATCTTCTGAAATGAATTCTCGCTGTCAAATTGACTTGATCGACATGCAAGCACAATCAGATGTCGATTATAAATTCATATTAGTTTATCATTATCATCTAACAAAATATATTATGCAGATTATTTGTATAAGTACTTCACAATTTACATTGCCCAATATACCTCGGACATTGTATACAATGCCCGGTCACTGTGTACAATGCCCGGGCATTGTATACATTGCCCGAATTTTCCACTTTGCCCGTAACATATACATTGTATACATATTTACTGTGGATTTATCACAAATTAAATAGCCTAAGTTATACATCAATTGCGCCAGAATAATATTCACTTTAATTCACTACAATATTTTTTGATACGTATTTTATTTTAGTTAAGTATAGAAAATGTGTTAATGGTGAAATTTGTGTAATACAACGTGTTGTTCAAGTGTGAAAGTTCTAAATTGTCTTAGTTTAAATAAACGAATGAGAAAAAGTTTTGAAAAATGTTAATCTAAAATCTAAAATATACCTTGAGATGAATACCTATCATGGTTAATATTTATTTATTTAATTTATTTATTTATTTGTATGAACGCCAAACGGCTTTTTACATATAGCAATAACGATATTACATAAATATTATTAAGTTGTTTCATTTTTTGTAATGGAAAACTTACTGACTTAACTAATTATAACATTTTTTAGTGTACCTACTTCAATATTATCAGGCGCAATTTACGTATACGAGTATAACCTTTTTGAATTCCATAATTTTTTTTACCTGTGATTTTTGGAGCAATTGACGTTCATCGATTGAGCCACCCCTGCTATATAGGTACTATATAATATCACGGTTAAAGTATTCAGAGAAAAAATATGTATGCAAATCAAAATCTCTAAAAATGTTCGATATGTACCGAATTTTAGAAAACTCGATTTGGACATATGGTTTTTATGTTTAGAAACCAATAATTATTATTCAAGATTCCATAATATAACATTTTGAGACCATTGATACAGTATACAGTGTATCTCAGTCCTCGTTATATTTATACAAAAATTGAAATATTCAAGATGTTTATAAATATAAATGTAAAATAATAATATTAAAATTAAATTACATACCTCTCTTAAGTAGTTAAGTATCTTTTGGTTTTAGTGCAGGTACTGATTAACTACGGAAATATAAAAAATTTAAGAAACAAAAAAGCTAATGGCCGTAATGCTATATCTACAAGTGAATATGGTACCTAGACATAGATGCGATATGTAATGGCATAATGAATAATATATTATTATTATCACATAGACATTAGACATGTTACGATTTATCAACGATGACTAAATTATTATGTCACATTTTTTTAATGTTATGCATAGACTGTATTATCTGTATTTTAGTATCCATAGATATATTAATATAGTACATCTAGATAGAAAATAATATTATACTGGAATCTCAAACTGGACGTCTAGACACCGGACACCAAAAAACGGTTGGCCGACAGCCAGTTAAAATGTTCTTACCACACAGAGGTGGGGAATGGAGATAACATAATCCATCACTTCTGATTCAGTCTTGTTCGTATACGTTTTACAGTTTTTCTTGCGTGGCTGTTATAAGGGGGTACGTGGTCTTCTGCTCCAGCTTAATTTTTATCTATCTCGATGCTGTATAATTAATTGCAAATACATAAATATATTTTAAGTACCTTCATAGTTAAATAAGCGCAAATAGCTCAATTTTTCCGAGATGACCCCTCCCCCCCAAAAAAAAAATATTTTCTAAAAATGATACATACTTAGTATTGAGTACTGACTTTTGAATTGGGAGTGGACTAAGCCCCACTCCCATTTGCGCCAATGCGATAGTTACAAAGTTATTTAGACTTGCAGCGATCTTTTAATAATTTCAAAATGTGTGGTTACATTCATGTAGTTTTGGTGCCTATGCCTAAAGGCTAAAATCGTCTTCAAAGTTCTGAGTTTCTGACTTATAGCTTAAATAAATATTTAATCAGTGGCGTTCTCAGGATTTATTAATTGGTGTAGAGAAAACTAGAGAAACAAATGATTGCAAAGTTTACCTGTACGGGTTAGCATCTACACTGCAACAACAAAAGAATATAATATATATTAAATCTTAATAAACATTTTTTCTGTGTTTCATTGCTTCATATTTAAAACCATTTTAATTGTCCTTGTCATTGTTATTCATTTAAGTGCACTGCATACATAAATTATTCTTTGTTTTTGATGTACCCTACATCAAGAACTTCTTCAGGATCAATAACCACTATTGCTCAATGGATATGGTCCACCAGTGCCAGTGCAGCTGTCAACTGCGGTTGACGTTGTTCGTCCAGCTGTGACAATGACATGTGGGTGACAAATTATTTTTCATCAGACCTCTTTTTTATTGCGATAAGACATAAATCGTTTAAATGAAACGAAAACAGCTAAATTACTTACATATAAAATATATGTTTTTTGTGATAAACGTCTTCACCTTAATACTATTTTAAGTTTTTATGGCACACAAGCTTTCATGGTTCGTACATAATTCGACGAGGATTGAGCATCATTTAGTATGTTAAATATTATTTTTTTTTTTAAGCTGGTTTTCAACCAAATTTATCATTTCGTATCCCTTTAATTGTTCAGAAAATTTGTTTCAATTGAATTAAATAATAATATTATAAACTTAGACCGTTATTAAGTAACAGAATAAATTAAATAGATAGGTTACTACTACGCTATAGTATTTGAATTACTATAATATAAGACTATTTTGTAATATAAAACGTTTTTTGAAGTTTTATATTTCAACAATTATTCATTATAGGTGGGTACCTACCCATAGGATAAAAAATAATAATTATAATTAGGGCTAGGCCGCTAGGGCTTAGGCATATTATGCAATAAAATATGGTAAAGCATGATTTTGATTTATCAAACATATGCAATAAAAAAGTAAAAGAATATGACACAAATACAAAAACTAAATTTTTATATTTTAAAATATTATAATAAACTTTTAATATTATTCAAAAGTATAAAAATTTTCAAGAACAAAAGATGTTTTGTTAGATCTTAGTATGTTTTTATGTTTGCTGAATCTTCGTTCGTCATGGTAACAGGTCACATAGGTAGGTATATTAAAAAATAGTGTTTTTCCACCTGTCTTTAAAATAGTATTTTAAAATTCCTCTATATATTGTTGTAGTTTTGCACTGGTGCTTTATATTTTTGGCAATTAAATGATGAAAGTTAAGACTAAGTTGATTCACAAACAAAACTTTAATTAAAAATAGAAAAATATAAATTTTTTTCAGATACGTTGTTATGAAATTACATCAAATTGTATAAAAAGAATATTTTTAAAAAAATTTGAAACATTTAGAAATAATGAGTGTAGATACTTCAATGGATATTCTGATCCAAATACAAAGGCAAGTCAATGTCTACATCCAAGGAAAGTAGTTCGAAGCGAGTAGCTCGGCCACTGGAGTTGCCATTATTTATATAGTTTACTCGCCTCTTGTGACTTATCACCAACATTCATCCAGTCAAGTCATCTTGGAATAAAAGTTTTTCTAGACGTATACCAAATAGGTATTCTGTGATTTATGATACACTTCCGTCTTCCTCGAAGAAATATAAAATAATCGTAATCGAACGCGATACGAGTAACATTACTTTCAATGTGATAGTAAAAGTGTCGACGATTTCAAACAGCTTACCTACATCGACATATCGATACAAAAAAAGTACTCTTGGGTACTCTCTATAGTCTATACTGAAAGCAAACGTCGATAAGTAGGTACTTTATTTATTATCTCTACAAATCGGCCCAACGTCCCCGCAGACAATGTATTATATTGTGCCCGTGCACGCGATGAAGTCGAGCTGAAAAATGGCGTATCGGTCGCAAAACTGTTTCCCTGTAGATCTCTGTACTTTGGCTCCGCGGTCGCGATGATGATGAACCTTACCGATACGACAGCGACAGTACCTATTCGTGATTTATCGATAGACCCCTTGACGTTCGAAACGATTATTATAATATTTCAATATTTTAATATTATGCATAGTGGCCTCATAATGTAATGTGTCAACGTGCATTGTTATTGTCGCGGGCGTGACCTCTGCGCTTCGAGTGTCGTTCTCGACAACAGTATAATATTGTAATAAAGACGATGACCGCCGATACGCGTTTTAGAGGTTTTTTTTTTTTTTTGGCACTGATTACCGAAGCTGGTTCCTGTATGTATATGCGTATATTGTAGTATTATGTCATGATACAATACACGTAACACGAACGGTGACGTTTTGAAAAAATCACACACTCACCCATGCCGCGAGCAGAATCAAAATCGAAACGATCTACGACTCCCCCCCACTAATATTTTCCGTCGAGCTGTCACACTCGGTATTTAATAACAACAACAGGTCGCAGCATAGTACCACGCGTATATCACATAGGTAATATTATTGAATGCTCTTCGGCGTAGATTGTGTAGGTGCCTACTACACGCACATTGTTTTCAAAATTATAGTTTAGAAACGATTT